CGGCCTGGTGGCGAGTGCGCCGCTTGGGAAGTGCGGTGGCGCTCCCACCGAGGGTTCGGATCCCACATATAGACCGGTTCCCGCTCAATCGCTGAGTGAGGCGCGGGGGCAACACCGAGGGTTGCGATCCTGTTGCCAGTCCCGGTCTGGTACGGGGGCGACACTGAGGGTTGCGATCCGTTGCCGGACACAGAAAAAAAAAAAAAAAAGAAAAAAAAAAAAAGTTCTCTAAGGCAGATGGAATGTGCACAGCATTGGAATGGCTAGCTGGCAGAAGGGGAAGATTTCCTGGTCAGAGTGTGTGTGCCTCACAAGTGGGCGTGTGTTCTCCCTCTTCTGTCCCTTCTCTGTCCTGTAGACTAGCAAGCGAGTGGGCAAGGTGCTGCACAACTCCTTGCAGAGCATTCTACACAAGGAAGAAAGCCTGGGACCCAAGAGACAAAAAGTCGGATTCTTGGGATGATTTGCACATTATCTCCTCAACTGTGGATTATTTGTTTTTTATTTTTCCTTTCAAACACAAGTTTGTATATATTTTGATGAAGTGATATGCATTTAAGGCAACATTTATACATGTAAAATTAAAGTCTATTTTCTGATCTGGTGTGGTATGTCTAGAGTTCTGCTGTGATCCAAGATGCCACTCGGTGACCCCTTAGAGGGTCTGACCCTTACTTAGTGAATGGCTGCCAAATCCAGAGATCTGCCACCACGGGAGAGGGCACTGGTCATGGGCTTCCCCAGGGAGACTCCTGCAGGAGTTCAAAACAGCGACAGCAAACACTGGAATAAAGACCTGGAGAAAATGATTTAAAGGAAGTGCGTATGATATGTATTTTGTGAAACTTTTTTCTCTGCAGAGTTTCCAGAATAAGAATCACAATGAAAAGTTCATCACCTTATGTATTTGGGTGCTTCTGGGGAAGAAGAAAAGAGGAGGCCCCCTGCCCCAGCTATACACCCAGGGCTTCTGCCTGGCTGGTGAGCCTTCCTGAGCCCTCAGGAGCCCAGCTCTGATTTCCCACCCTCTGGGAGATCCAGGTGAAACTCCCTAGGATCAGGGGCTCAGCGGCCACATTGGCCTTTAGCCAATCTTTCTTATCACTCTTGTTTTGAAATTGCTTTATGTTTTATAACCACTCCCTAGTATTTATCAGTATTAAGAAGGCTGCTTTGGAGACAGTGTCCTTTGATTACTCAGCCACCTTCATATGCTGTGAATAGAAGTGGAGGCTGCTCTTGATAAGCCAGAAGACTCCTCCTAAAAGTCTGTATCCTATTCACAGTGCAGTGTGTTGGAAGTAAGTCTCTTCATGAGTAGAGCAGTTGCTGTTTTCTTCTAGGGGAACCGAAACTCCTAAGTCAATCTTAAGGAGGCCTGGGGAAGGAGCTGATTTGTGAAGGAGAGCAGTTAAGCTGTGGCATTTGCTCTCTGTGTTTCAGCTAGACAAATGGGATAAGGAATTTATCACCTAACGGAAAGAACATAATGTGAGCTGAAGCCCTTGTGGACTGCTTCCAGAGGTCCTGGCATGGTCGCCTCATCCCAGCATGGCCAGGTCCATCCCTGTGGAGAGAAACAGCTGCCTGGACTTGGGCTTAATGGGGAAGCTGCTGCTTAATGGGGAATAGCCTGGGTTTTCATCTTTTATGTTTTTCTAGTGACTGTCCCTACAGGTGCCATGACAGTTTTCCCAACAAGGCAGAAATCAGCCTTGTCCCTCCTCTCCTGCTCCTGGTGGACTGCCTAGGACAAAAAACTGGCAGTGGTGGTACAGAGATGCACCTCGAGTTTGAATAAAGTTTAGAAGCCTTCAGTTTTGATGACTGATTTCAGTGGATCATTTCGAGGTACATAAATTGGAGTGGGTATTATATAGGTGAAACTCTGCTCAGCTCTGTATTTCTCTTCAGACAGACAGTTATACAGCAAACAGCTACCCAGTTGGGCTGGCTAGCTAAGCAGTTACAGTGAAAGCATAAATTGGAGTGGGTATTATATAGGTGAAACTCTGCTCAGCTCTGTATTTCTCTTCAGACAGTTATACAGCAAACAGCTACCCAGTTGGGCTGGCTAGCTAAGCAGTTACAGTGAAAATGAAGGAGAGAAATGAATGTTAGGATCTGTCTCCAGCCACCCAAGACCTTTCGTTGAAGGCCACCCCTACATGTAAGATATGCACATCACAAATGAAACAACACTAGATTAGCAGGATCTCTCCAGGAAAGGCATTTATTCAAAAGATCTGATTATTACACTTCTCAGAGAGATTAAGAGAAAACTGAAGGCAGAGACTGGCAAATACTTGAAAAAATATTGCCCTGGAGAGACCTCCTGTTTCATTCAGCAGAACCAAAGCTGTCTTTAGTGGCCTTTAAATAAACATATCAGGGAGAACATTGAAGGGCAGGCATGTAAGGAATGCAATGTTATTTAATATTCAAGTAGGTTTATTATTTCTGTGATCTCTCAAATCACATAAATTCAAGCCTGCAAAACACACGAATTTAGAATATTAACAGTAGGTTGTGTTTTGCTCAATGTATTTAGTTTTCTGTTGCTTATAACAATACCTGAAACTGAGTAATTTGTAAGAAAACAAAGTTTATTTCTTTTTTTTCCTTCTCATCTTTTTTACTGACTGGTAACGGGATCACAACGGTAACGGGATGACAACCCTTGGTGTCGCGCCCGTACCGGGGACCGGCAACGGGATAGCAACCCTCGGTGTTGCACCCACACTGCGCTCAGCCAGTGAGCGGGAACCGGTCTCCACATGGGATCCGAACCCTCGGCGGGAGCGCCACCGCACTCCCAAGCGGCGCACTCTCCAGTGTGCCACTGGGCCGACCCAGAAAACAAAGTTTATTTCTTACAGTTTCAGAGGCTGGGAAGTCCAAGGTCCGGGGGAAGGGGTACATCTGATGAGGGCCTTCTTGATGGAGATTACAGAGTCCTGTGGTGACATGGTATCACATGGCGAGGAAAAGAGTGCATGCTAACATGGTTCTTTCCTTATAAAGCCCTCAGTCTACTCTCTGATAACCCATTGAACCATTAGTGCATTAATCCACGAATGGCTTAATCCATTCATGAGGGCATAGTCCTCATGATCCAATCACCTCTTAAAGGCCCCACCCTTCAAATACCATATTGGGGATTAAGTTCCAATTTGAGCTTTGGAGGAGACAAGCATTGAACCCGTATCACTCAAAGGCAGTGGTCTCAAATACAAATGCCAGTAAAGCATAAATCCATGCTATTCCAAACTTTTTGAAAGCAATCTGTCAGTGTGTATTAAAAGTCTTAAAAATATTCATGCCCTTTGACGTAATAATTTCAGTTATGGGAATGTAACCAAAGTAAATAATTCAAGATACAAGGGGGGGAGTAAAAACATTAACTATAGAGAAGTTCATCCAGTATTATTGTTACCTCCCAAATAGTGTCCATAAAGTAAATGCCAGTCAGTGGAGACACAGTTCCATAATGTTGCATCTAACAAGATGCCTCTGATGGGCTGCTCCCACCCCCTCAGCCTCGCTGCAGAGCAGCCACAGCTGTAGGCCTCAATTCACTGCATGCCAGCAGTCTTGCTCCCAGTGCTTCCCATGGACCTTTTGCTTTCTGCTCTTAGGCTTCTCTGACACCATGTCCTAGAACCCTAGCAGGAGCCCCCTCAGCCTCTGAGTATGCGCAGCCCAGAAGTTCTGAGGACTCAGTGCCTCCTGAGGCAGCCCACAGTCACTGGGAATAGGAGCCAGTGGAGAAGTGCGGCTCTGCTTGATCCTTGGTGAACAATTCCGAGAGGTACACTCATCAAACTGAGCTGGGAGGGTCATGCCTCAGGTGCTCATGACTGGAATCACCTCTGTTTCCTTCCCTGTTTTATTCTTTCCAGTCCTTTCCTCCTGTGCCCTGTGGGACCACCTCCCAAATGAACTACCAGGACATGAGTCCTTGTCTCAGGCTCAGCTGGAGACACCTAGAAAGAGACCTAGATAAGCAGTTGGTACCAGTAGTCATCCTAGAAAGCAGACCCTCCAAATGGGATTTGGGAACTGGATCAGTCACTGGCGATGGCAGCCAAGGCCTGTGGGGGGTTAGTAATTGGGTTGGTGATAACCCAGGGCCTCCTATAGCATCGTCATTACCAAGACTTGCTAGTGGTGGATTGAGATGAGGTACAGGAGGAGAGGGGAGCGTTGGGTTATATGGAAGCTCTACCATATGACTGTGGCATCAATGGTGGTGATAAGATGTTCAGTGGCTGCTTATGGGATCTGGTGCATAGAAAGTAGCAAGTAGTTGGAAGTCCTAGTAAAACACGTGTGCAAGAGGGCAGGAAATAAACCCCCATGAAGATTCAGGAGACCACCACCTTGATAATGTTTTTAGGTCCAATGGTGTGGGGCATTCTGAGACATTCCTCTCAGGTAGAAGGTACATTGTGAACCTTGCACCTACCCCAACTCCACCACCCCCACTATGAACGAAGCACAGCTTTAGTTGGGCTCTGGGTTTTGGAGGCAAAAATGTTACACTTGAGAATATTGCCTCAATGTAACTATTGAATAACTCACAAAGCTAGAAGTTGTGTGGGAGCCCAGAACAAGATAGGACTCTGAAGCCCATCCAAACTGCATTACAATCATCCCTCCTACTCCATATGACCCAGAAATTCCAATGAAGCTAGGGATATCTGGAGTGGACAAGGGTGCTGTTTAGGGCTTCTGGCAAGCCCAAGAAGAAAGTTGCAGTGCAGACCCTAAGAATATGGAGCTGGGCCATGCGGTGGAAAACTTTACCTCCGAGCGAGTGAGTGTGGAAAGCGGATCTTGGCTTGCCACTGGGCCCAATTAGAGACTGAATACCTGACTCTGGGACCTCAAGTGACCTGAGCTGCCCATCGTGAGCTGGTTATTGTGAGACCCACCAGGGCATAGGTTGGGTGGGTGCAGCAACAATCCATGCAAGATGGAATACACGTTCAGGATGGAGCCTGAGCAGTTCAATGGGCACAAGCAAGGAACATAACAGCCCAGATTCCTCTGTCACCTGCCCCTGTTCACCAATGCCTCTCATCCACACCTGTGACTTCATGGGGGAGGGGATTCCTGCAGCCAGCTGCTGGAAGAGGAAAATCCTGGATGAGTTTGTTCTGTGTGTTGTAGTGACCCAAAAAGGCACTGCTGCTGCATTACAGCCCCACCCAGAGGTGGCCCTACAGGACAGCAGTGAAGGAGCTAAGAGCAGCAGCAGACCTGGTGGTTCAGTTTGCATGAAGGGAAAAGGATACATGTGGATTCCTGGCTAGTAGGGAGTTGCTTGGCTAGTTGGACAGAGGCCTGAAAGGAGTAAGATGGGATGATCAGAGAGAAAGTATGTGCGCAGGCCTGTGGGAATCGGCCCAAAGCATGCAGATCTTTAGGAATCATGTTAATGTTGATGCCCATCAGAGAACATCCTCCAGAGGAGGCACTCAACAGCAAGGTGTGGCTTCTGGTTCTGAGTAGGATACGTAGGGCATGGCAGACCACCATTCATGCTGCCACAACTAAAAGCACTACATGCATTTCAAAAAACATATCTTTCAAGATTTT